AGCAGAACGCCTGGCGCTTTCTGTTGTGATGGAACGGTCCATCTGGGGAAAGCCCCCCCTCTGTAAAACAGAAATTGCCACATATGGTGGAGTGGCCACTCATGATTGTGGAAGGACCTGTTGAGATGGTCTACCAGCTCATTCTGCCTCCCAGGGAGGTATGACACCTGCAGATATATTGAATGTTTTACACAGAAGTCCCAGAGTTTCAGGGCTTCCTGGCACAGGGGAGAAGACTGCCCCTGCCCAACTCCCCACCCTCCGTTTATTGATATAGACCATTGGTATTTGGCTGTATTGTATTTGGGCACTCCAGCCCAAACTTGATGTGCCCATCACTAGCAGTGGGGATGGCTGTGGGCTGGTGAAGGGGACCCCTGCACATGCCTCCTAGAGGTTGATGCACCAAAGGAGAGACTCTAGTACTGAGTCAGGAAGAGTCATGATTTTGTCCAGTTTGTCTCAGCTAGTTGATACACTGACTCTAACCATGATTGGAGTGGTCAGAGCCTGGAATATGGCCAGTGGGAGCAGGAGGACGCCGTGCCTGGGACACGATGCCTGGGAGTGGCAGGGGGTACAAAGGCAGATAAGTGCCCCCCCTGCCCCTCAAGCCCAGACCCTGAACCCCCACCCCCCTCATGCACACACCCCCACTGAGACCCTGCACCCTCCCCTGCTCCTGCACCGTCCCCTCTGGCCAGACACCCTACCCCACCCTACTTCTGCACCCACCCTGTCTCCTGCCACCTCCTTCCTGGCCACACACTTCACCCTCTCTTGCTCCTGCCCCCTCCCCCGGCCAGACACCCTGCTCCTGCCCCCTCCCCCGGCCAGACACCCTGCTCCTGCCCCCTCCCCCGGCCAGACACCCTGCTCCCAGCCTGCTCCTGCCCCCCACGTCCCACCTAGATCCTGCACCCAAGTGTGGGGAAGCGCGCACGTGCCGCTCCTCCCCTCCCCACAGGACAAGCCGGAGTGGAGCCCAGGGCAGGAGACCAAGGGGGCACGTGGAAAGAGGGCAGGAGGGTTAAGTCTTGGCACGGCACTTCGGGAAGGTTGCCGACCCCTCGGTTAGCTGATCCCTGCGGGCCCGTTCAGGAAATGTACGAGCCCAAGTCGCCTGTGAAAGGCAGCCAGTGAAATAGGTGCAGGATGTTACAATTCCAGGGATCAACCGCCCGGATACAAGCACCAGCCCCAAAGAATCAGGCGAAGGGCCGAGGGCTCTCGGAAGCGCCGGCCCACGTAACGGCAGAGCGCTCTCCCGGTGATTGCTAGAATGGGGATGCAAAGAGGCTCAGGACTGTGTAACACGCGGGGCTCGGGCACCTCCTGGGAGAGAGCCGCACGGCACCGACTTCCCCCTCCTCCTGGGGCTGCCGGGGTGCTAGAGAGGGAGGGGCCATGCTCCCTGTTTTCAGGCTGCTAGGGGAGAGCACAGAAATGTGGGGCCCCTCCAACTCCATCCCCATGGCGTTAGGGCTGATCGTGTGTCGGGGGGCTCCCTGAGCAGACAGCCTGGGGAGATAGAGGGCGTTCGCACCCCCAAACCAGGTTTAAGCCCCGGGTGGGGAAACTGAGGCACGGGTGCCCCACAGCTCTTCCAGTGTGGCAGGGGAGCCTGGATTAGAAGGTTCCCAGTGCCGTGGCTGGGCTGGAAGGTAGGAGGCCGGGATGCACGTGGTTTAAGTGGTCACGCAACCCAGGCGCTGAGCCTGTTTCTGCAGGGTCTGGTTGGTTTGGAAAGGGAGGGGTGTTAGCAGGCTGCAAAAACTACCATAAACAAGGACCTGCCCCAGCGGGCAGGCGGGGGGCCGTGGGGTCCCACTGCGGCAGAGCCGACGTAGGTGCAAGCTCAGGATAAAGTTCCCGGCTGTCGGCAGAGCAGGACAGTGGGAC